AGGTTTAAAAAATCACTTTAATCTTCATATTTTAACCTTGTTTCAATTCCTGGGTGAAGTCATAGTAGATGTTATAGATGATAGCCATCATAGTGATTGCTGCAGCTGTAGGACAGAATTACATGGTCCTCTTTCACTATACTTTTAATGCATTGTGAGTAATAAGCTATTGAATAATTCTTTTGCTTGTGGGTGTTTTAGCAGTAGTTGTAAGCATACCCTGAATCATAGCATTTTAAAAATTCTTGCAAGGAAGGACCATATAGGTGGCATAAATGCTTTCCATCTATATTAATTTAATCCTCTGTGACTCATGCCTAGCTCTTCTGTTTAACTTCACGGCATCCCATGTAATCACAAACTATTGACAATATTGACTCATTGTTACTGTCTGAGTTTAAGCCCTACTGACAAAATAGCAGTAATACATGTTGCTTTGGAACCATTCTGAAACACTGATACCTTGATATAATAGGTGAAGTCATAATCGTATTTATGTAAAACTTGTCCAGTGTGGAACAGTACTTTATTAATATACTGGGAACCACAAAACAGCCGAGAAGGATATAACCATCTCAGTAGGCCTACACTGGATTTGTCACAGAATGTGGCACGAGGAATGTGAGGTACTCAGTAGTACAGTCTAGTGAATTAACATACCAAAGTGCCAGGAGTGTGTTTCCTCCCTTCTGAATACCTCTTTGTGTATTTCTTTGAGAGAAGGGTGAAATGGAAGGTATCAGTGGCTTTTCCCCATTGTCCCCCCCCCCCACTGGTTCTGACCCCATACTGCTTTGGTTTATCCCCCAATTTCCACACACATTTTTGTGCTTTAATTTTTTACTGTTTTTATATCCCCCCCCCCTGCTCCCCCCCTTTCCTTTTAGACCACTTTCACCCTGATCTTTTTCTGGAAGTCAATTTTCAGATGTCTTTTTCTTTATGCATGATGTTTCTGTCAGTTTTCTTTATCCCACCTCCAGACTGCTTTTCAATTATTAGACTGTCATTCTTATCAAACCACTTCCTGTCCTCCCCCTGTCCTGAAGATGAATGGTTTCGTTTTATTTATTTATTTATTTTAAAAAATACAACTCGTTCACATGCACACACCAGATGTACCCACATATTTTGGTTTAGCCAGTTCTCTGAATTTCAGGGTTTTGTTTAAAATAAATGGTAAATCACTTGCTCCTTCCCGTATGGATTTATGCCTTGTATCTAGAGACTTACTCTATGCTAGAGATTTACTTTTTCTTTTTTTCAAAAAGGTGGAAATTTGGAGAACCTGCTACACCTATCATTATAACGGTGTATTAATATAAGAATATTTTAGTAGTGATTTTTAAAAATGTGGAGTCCATGGGGGGCACTTTCAGTACCAGTAGAAAAGTGACATAGCACTTCCCATATAGTTCATAAATGGGTGGTAGAGCTGCTCTTTTTCTAGGAAGGTATGGGTGGGGACTCCCATTAACCCTCCCCAGTAGCCAGCTACAGCTCCCCCACCCTGGAAATGCTAGCTTCCCCCCTGCAGCTTTGCATGCGTCAGTGGAGCCCCACGCTTTCTCTTCATCCCTTAGCTTGTGTTCATTTTCAGTCTTTTTAAAAGTCCAGCCATTGTACTGATATAAGCATGTGCAAATAAAAGGGTTTTTTTGCTACAATGCTACCAATGACGACAGTTCCCTCCCTTGAAAATCCTTGTTATTTAAGGCACATATGGAACAAAATGACAGCATAACTATGAAGTTGCAGAGGGAAGGCAAAACGTATGGACGAACCATGCACAAACCAGTTCCAGTGTTTGTGGATTAACTGCAAAGAAAATCAGGAGTAAATTGAGTGTGCAGAAAAGCCTTTGGTGTGGTGGTTTCTCCTGTTCTCTAGAACGGCACAAGTAACAGATCAGTCTAGGGAAGAAGAGTTCTCCAGCTGTTATGGTATTTCTAGTCCAAAGATAGTTTATGTGTCTAAAATGAAAATCCACTAAAATGAGACTCTAGTTCCTTACTATTGCTTACCATTCTCATACCTTGTGACTGTTTCCTTCTGTACTGCTTTCCTGTTTGTTCCAGGAACACTTGTTTACATGATCAAACACCCAAATGATATAATAAACAAGCTTTACCTGGTGCAAATAATTATTTCTAGGCGAGCAGCTTCTAGGCCCATTACTTATGCTACCCTCTGGCCAATAAGTGAAGGGCAACTACTTTAGGATGGGGGAGGGGTAGTCTTGCAGAGTTTTTAATAATGGCTATCCCTAGGAAGCATATATGCACAGAAGTGTGCATTCTGAATACAATTAATTCACATATAATCTAAATATGCCTTTTAGCTTAACTTCAGATGGGTAATCTGATTGAATCGGCTTCTGACATTTTGGAAGCATTCTGAAATACTGAAATCCTTGAGGCTTTGGCATATGACTTGCTGATGCTGTTTCTTTTCCACTGGAATGCAATGAATGGGTAGTGTCCATCATTCCTTGGGGCAGGGTAGAGATTGAGAATCAGCAGATAACATGTCTGATAGGCATGACACCACTTCATCTAACGAAAAGAGTTAGTTACCCAATATTCCTACCACACAGTGTAATTTTTAATTAGAATATCTGCATGGTGTATCCCTTGAGGTCCAATTATGCAAAGTTTACCTGCTCATATGTGGGGCTGTGGTTGTATTTGTATAGAATATGTGCAGAGCAGATAACTATGGATCTTGCTGTGCTTTGAAACTCAGAATTTTCTACAAGTCTGTCAGTTCCTTGGTGGATGCTGGGAAAGTTAGGTGAAAGTTGGAAGAAAAGTGTAGAAATTAATGGCTCTAGCTCCATGTGCAACATGTAATACTTTTTGCTGTTTAAAGTAATTATTGTTGGGGAAAACATGGCTATAATTCATTCCTCCATGCAACTTCTCTGCAGGGGTTATAAAACAGGGACTCCCTCTGTCTGCAATTTAGCAAAGAGGTGAGGCCTACAGACCTTTGGATATAATCTGTGAGAATTCAGTCCTGCTTGTATGATGGTGCGCTGTGCTAGAAGGTCCTGTAATTCATTGCTTCTAGAAAAGGGATCTGTAGGACATTTGGAGGGCAAGATCCCTTGTGTAAGAAGCACACTCTCTGGGAATCTCATCTCTGGGGGAGTGTGCATTTGTTTTTTTATAATATGGATTATGTGGAATCCATGTTTATATGGATTATGTCGATTACAATTCCCAGTGGAAACAGCAGTACAGTTGGTAACCCAGACCCTTGCCATTACAATATTAAAGCTAAACAAAGTCATTAATGAACAGAATTAGCTGAATCCAAACAATGAATGTTTGTTTGCATCCTTACTAAGCTGCCCTTTTCCCTAATATTTTTTTAGATTTATTTATTTAATTTATACCCAGCCTTTCCTGCCAAGGTGGGCTCTGGGCAGCTTACAGATATTTCATAAAAATCCAGTATGCTATCTGCAACCAGTGTAGTGCCTTCAGTACAAGCTGGATGTGCTCCCGCATGGGGATACCCATCAGCAGCCTGGCTGCCGCATTCTGCACTAGTTGTAGCTTCCGGATTTGAGTCAAGGGCATCCCCATGTAGAGAGCATTACAGTAGTCCAGCCTCGAGGTGACCGTCGCATGGATCACTGTTGCCGAGTCGTTGTGTTCAAGGAAGGGAACCAACTGCCTAATCAGCCAGAAGTGATAAAAGGCTGACTTGGCAGTGGCTGCTTCTTGGGCCTCCATTGTTAAGGAGGCATCCAAGATCACTCCCAAACTCATAACCATCGACGCTGGCACCAGTTGTGCCCCATTGAAGGTCGGGAGTGGGATCCCTACCCCAGGACTGGCCCGACTCAGGCACAGGACCTCCGTCTTAGTTGGATTCAATTTCAGTCGGCTCAGTTTAAGCCAACCAGCCACAGCTTGCAACGCCTGGTCCAGATCTTCCGGTGTAGAGTCAGACTACTTCAACTACATATAAAATTAACATGGTGTACTTTTATTTTCTTTACTCAATAAAAATCACTAAATCATACCCAACTTATTTAAGGGCTTCTGAAAACTATGTAAAATTTCTGATTTTTGCATAACTACAGCATAGGTCCTTCTGAGGGGAGCCATCAGGACAGTAGAAGAATTGCTAAGAGTGGTGAGGTCTGCTATTTGAGTAGAACGTGCCTTGCGATGATAATCAAAAGGATAAGGAGAGAGGATACACTTGGGAGAAGAACTGCTGGGAGAAAATGTTAACATGGAGAAGTGCCAAAGGGCATTTTTTGTAAAAATGTAAAACATTGGAAATACTGTATTTCTTTCTTTTTTTAAAAAATTGGAAGTTCTTTCTGGGATGCAGTGGAATAAAAGTTTTTTAAAAACCCTCTTACCATGAGTGAAGATTAAAAAGTGAGTGAGGGTCTTTAGTGACAGCTAAACAGACACTTCTGAACAAACAGCCAAATAAAGATACTGCATTGTCTGCAATAGTGACAGTAATGAATGCAGGTTGGCATCTCTTCTAAAGCCCAGACCTATCAAATTGGAAACAGGCTTCACTTGCACTGAAGAGTTCAGAAAGCTTTCTGGAAACAAAAACCTATTCTGTGGCATTAGTAGTACTGAAAACATAAACTTAAGGTTGCTGTAGCTTTTGACAGCGTAGGGTAAACTGGGAAGAATATAAATAGTTGCTGATTGAAAATGCAGTATCTTCTAATTTTGTGATTTGAGGTTATTATTTTTTTAGGCCTGATAGCCAATAAAGTTAGGGAGTAAGGATAGCTTAAGATCAGCTTAAATTCAAACAGCATTATTTTGATGAGGAAATAAGAAAATGGGGTGAGGTTTTTCTCTGTTACTGGTGGAATCCCTTAGAGCTAGAGAACTGGACTCTTCCTCAGATAACAAAATGTTTCTGATTCTCATTACTTTAAATTGTGAAATTGTTCTTATTTGTTAATGGTCTTCTGATTTCAGTATTAATAAAGGTCTTTTCCTTTGCAGAGTTTTCCCTCTGATGAGGGCTGGCCATTTGCAAAATATTTGGGTGCATGTGGAAGAATGGTGGCTGTAAACTATGTGGGAGAAGAACTATGGAGTTACTTCAGTGCCCCATGGGAAAAACGAGTGGACCTGGCGTGGCAGTTAATGGAAATAGCAGAGCAGCTGACAAACAATGACTTTGAATTTGCACTCTACCTCCTGGATGTCAGCTTTGACAACTTTGCAGTAGGTCCTAGAGATGGGAAGGTTATCATTGTGGATGCTGAAAATGTTTTGGTAGCAGATAAAAGGTTAATCAAACAAAGTAAGTTGGTTTCTGTTCATACTACATCAGATCTTTATTTGCATTTAGTAGTTTAAGCTGTGGCATTTTTTGGTGCTGTGGGAATGATCAGTTCACTAGTGCAGTATTTGGTTCTACAAGTACAAGTTTGCAAATATAATTATCTAAACAAGTCAGAACTGGAAGATTCATTATTACATCAGCACTTTAAACAAAACCGAACTGGATTTTTGGTATTTGCTTACTATGCAAAAAATGTAATAGAGCATTGTTAAAGTTTCTGTAGCAAGCTTATTGGATATTCTTTCTCATCGCTGGTAGTTCAGAATCTTAGTTATATCTCTTTTACGAAGTGATGTGAGTGTGTCTAGCCATTAAAAATCATGATTCCTTATGTCCTCTTAAACTGCTTTTGCTTTAATTGTCCCTACAGTCACTTTTATAAACAATCACAAACTAGTCCTGGCACATACCAGTCATTCAGACAGCATTAAAACTAAGACTCTTGTGAGGTCATTATAAGCATTATGTTATGATATTCCATCTAAAGACTTCTAAAACCAGTGAAATCATGAGAATCGGGGAATTATCTTGCTTTCCAACCCTTAACTGTTTTCGCTTTTCTTTATCCATTTCACAGATAAACCTGAAAACTGGGATGTGTGGTATGAAAGCAAGTTTGATGACTGTGATAAGGAAGCTTGTCTCTCTTTCTCAAAGGAGATTTTGTGCACTCGTGTCACTGTGGACCATAATTACTATGCTATTTGCCAGAACCTTTTATCAAGACACGCCACCTGGCGTGGCACTTCTGGAGGACTTCTTCATGATGCTCCAGCTGAAATTGCCAAAGATGGTCGACTTGAGGCCTTGCTGGATGAGTGCGCCAATCCAAAGAAGCGATACGGTAGATTCCAAGCTGCAAAAGAACTACGTGAATATCTTGGACGACTGAGTAACAATGTGAGGTAGTTGATGGTGGGTGGATGGTCAGAAATCTTACTATGACAGTGAATATGCTGGGACAAGACACATGGGCAAGTGAGTTCTGAAAGTCAAACAAGGTCAAACAGCCAGAAGAAGAGAATAAACTGTATACTATGGTACTTAAAGGATATTTTGTATAAGCTGACAGAGTTACATACCCCAGTAACACTTGAGCTGTTTCTGACTGGGAGAAGACTGAGATATTGACTAGCATGTGAAATAGTACTTAACGCAGCGTGTGTTAGTTACCACCATTTTTTGAGACTGATGCCCTTGGAAAGTCAAGTTATATTGGCCTGTTTTAAAGGCCTTATTTCTGATGTCCTTTTCAGATTTTTGTTTTCATTCTTATGACAAACTAAAGTGACACTTACATACACGCTGGTATGCCCTGATATGCTCATTATTCCTGAAACTAATAGGTTTTCATGAAATGCTGTGCCGCACTTACTGTGAGTACAGGATTCCTATGCTTATTCTAATGTTCAGTTGTTTCCACTGTTTCTTACTGTTTGTATGCCTTATTAAGAATGCTTTTATAAGCATATTCTTAAATATTGTGTGAACATAACCTAGACACTTCTGAATTCTTGGTAATTCTGCTGCAGGTAATGCTTCACAAGTTGGTTTGGTGTAAAATTTTATCATTATTCCAATATGTAATCATGTCCATTCAGCAGGGAATCGCTGACCAATTTTGAACCAAGGTAATTTGGAATTTGGGGATACATCTAGTTAAAATGAATACCAAGTTTTACTAGTATAGTAAATCATAAACCAAAGAAAACGGTTGTGTATCAGTCTCTAGTCATTTAAACAAAATTATGTACTGTAGTGGCACTAACTCACTGACAACTCAGATTTCAGCAGGTTTGCGGTTATTCCTTTGAAGAAATTTTGCTACTAGTTAAGCTTAAACTCCACATGAGAATGAGAAAATGCCTAGCAGGCTAGCATTTGTTCTGCATTATTCACAGTTATGTTGAATTTGCAATGCAGTGTTTAAGTCTTTCAGTTGTAATTCAACAATCTTGTGATGGTTACTATGTACCTGAAATGGCTCAGAAGTTGCATGAGAAATTGACTCTGTTCTAAAACAAAATCCTTTCACGGAAACTTGCTTTTCTTTATGCATGGTAACAACTGCAAAGGTTTTCCAGGCTAGAATGGTGAAATTTTGATCCTGAATAAAGTTTGGTTGCAGCAGCAGCAGTGCGGCAGCAAGCCAAAATTATCTTTCTGAGCTGGAATAAGATCGAGTGTTCATGCTGTAATGATCATTGCGGTGCCGAAAAATGTATAGTGGACAGGTGAAAGCAGGTGCTGAAACAAAATAGTTGGGGAACAACGAAAAACCTAATCAGTTTCAAATCTCTGAAAATATGGAACATCACAGAAGGCTTTTTTTAGAAGGCAAAACTTTCATTCACTTCTGTTCAGCTTGTGTAGTTAAAACGTTCAGCAGCTTTTTTTGCAAGTAGTCTCTCAGAATTGCTTCCTTAGTTATTGGGGTTGGACTTGGCTCTGTCTCCTAAAGGGGGGGGGGAAATACTTCTTGCTGTGGCACAAACCTTTTCATTTCAGGTATTGTGGGCACAATCCAGAGCCTCTTAGGCAAGCTTGGGTCCCTCTGAAATAATTCAGATTTAAATAATTAGATCTCGATTATTTCAGAAAGCGTGTAGGGTTGCCTAACTTTCTTTGGATTTTACCATATGTATTTATATAGGATTCAAGTTGACTTTCTTGGCTCAAGTATTTGAGCAAAACCTAAATGTGAGACTAAACACTAGCCTGCCACAAAAGGCCTTGTTTTACACAATATTAATTTAATACCCACTATTTTAGGTGAATGAGACGTGTGATTGCTGTAGGAGTGCTGTAGGCTTTAAACACCACAAACACTGCCAGCTATGGAGGCAGTTATTCAACTGCTAAATGTTCCTTGTGAGGTTGGAGTTGGAGTTCATTGTTTTCTCGTGAAAATGTGCTGATAAGCAGGATTCTAACTACAAAAGGAGTCCATAATTCTCAGTCTACAGGGAAAACACCTATGTGGAAAGCAATAAGTTTTCTTCAATTTGCACCTATCAAGTATTTATTGTACAAGGACAATTTATATTTTTAGTCATTGCCCACAAATGGTGAATATTTTTGAATGAGATGTTTGGGGTTTGTATGTGCATAAAATTGTCTTTTGTACTGTAAGTTACTGTTTAATTTGGTTATCAAAACTGTCTCCTGTGCCTTTATACTAAGGTTGTTTTTACAACTTCTTGACTCTTAATAAAAAAGTACTTTAAAAACCTCATCTTGGCTTCATGTTTAATGGACTTTTACACTGTATGGTAATTAAAGAGGTTTATTTTTCAAGGTAATAATAAGGCCCTTACATTTCTAAATAAGGGGATAGGAAGAAGTTATTTCTAAAAGTCCAGCCATTGATACAAGAAACTGAGGGAATACAGAACAATAACATTGGGTGCCTCCATGTAATTTCTTGCAGAAACTGAGGGACTCCATAACCCTTGTCAGTTAATCCTGCTAATAGTCTAATGTGGTACACAGCCGTACTGGATTTCTGAATAATTTCTACAAAAGTGCATGCTACTGTGATATTAGTACTATTGTTAGAACAGATTATGTCTGTTATTCTCCTGAAATGTTGTGGAGCTATTCATAAACTGGCAGATGCATCTTGCTAATTGGGTCTGATTCTGTTGTTCATTTGAATATAAATAGTACTTCAGTTAACTACTGTAGTATTTAAAACTTCAAAAATGGTACACAGACCCTTCAATCATTTGATTATTAAACTCTGGATGAAAATGGAACAAGGCTTTTTTTTGTTACTTTGGACCACTAATGTTGGATTGATGCTGGAAGTTGTCAGCCAAGAAATTCACCATGCCCTCTTTATTTGGTAAGGCCCTGAACTTCTAGTCACACCTGGCTGTCTTTTTTAAAGTTACTATTGCTATCTAATTTCATTATTGGACACAAGGCTTACTAGCCCCTGCATCTGCATAGATTGGTAGGACTGTGCTTACTACTTTTACAAGCAATTATAGGAGCTTTACTTGCATGCGATTTGTGGAATTAATGGCAGCTGCTGAGTATGCTCAGTCTGCCCTGATAAAAAATGGTTGATGTTCCTTTGCATTGCATATATTTTTACTTATGTATCTTAACAACTAAAATGCGTACAAACCAAAATGGTGATAAGGTGTGGGTAGCCACAAAATATAGATAGGAACTCTGGGGCAAATGATGCTCTGTATTCTTGGTGCGGGGGGGCTACAGTGGGAGAGCTTCTAGTGTCTTGGCCCCACTGATAGACCTTCTGATGGCACCTGGTATTTTTGGCCACTGTGTGACAGAGTGTTGGACTGGATAGGCCATTTCCCTGATCCAACATTGGCTTCTTTTATGTTCTTATATTGAGTGCTGCCACTGCACAATGAATATCTTTGCACAGCACCATAAAAGGATGCTGAAATAGGTATGTTAAAGTGAGGAGCTTTTTCTGTGTATCAACACCATGGTGAGTTAGAGAGGAGGTGTTTCCATTGTTGTAGGTTAGTGTTTTGTTAAAGAATCGCAATGGTAGTCCTTTGAAGCCTGAATTTAACTGCCATCTTCATAAGAACATAAGAAGAGCCCTGCTGGATCAGACCACTGGTCCATCTGGTCCAGCATCCTCTCACACAGTGGCCCACCAGTTCCTGACTGAGACTGAGGCTTTCCCCTGATGCTGCCTCCTGGTTTTGGGATTCATAGGCTTAGTGCCTCTGAACGTGGAGGTTCCCCTCAGTCACAATGGCTAGTAGCCATTGATAGATGTCCTCCATGAATCTCTCTAATCCCCTTTCAAAGATGTTTATTCCTGTGGCTATCACTACATCCTCTGGCAGCAAAATCAACATTCTAATCACTCTGTGTAAAGCAGTATTTCCTTTTGTCCATCCTGAACTTACTGTCCACTAGTTTCAGTGGATGCCCTCAAGTTCTAGTATTTTGGGAGAGGGAGACAATTTTTTTTGTCAACTCTCCATCCAATGCATAATTTTATAAACTTCTATCATGTTCCCCCTTAGTTGTCTTCTTTCCTAAACTGTAAAGTCCCAGACCCTTCAGCCTTTCCTCATAAGGAAGGTGGTCCACCTCCCTAATCATCTTGGTTGCCCTTTTTCCAGCCTTGGTTTTCACCATCCTGAATAATTTTGTGTCATCTGCAAACTTGGCCACTACACTACTCGCCCCCAGTTCCAGATCATTTATGAATAAAATAGTACTGGCCCCAATACCAATCCTTGTGGGACCCCACTGCTTACTTCCCTCCATTGTGAGAACTGTCCATTGATTCCTATTCTTTGCTCCCTGTCATTTAACCAGTTTTTAATTCCTGAGACTGAGACTGACTGTGAAGAGCTCCTCAAAGCTAACTCCCTGTTTGACTGGGTAGGAAAATTCTCTTCTCACTAGAAGCTCTATCCCCCTTTTTTTTGTCCCAAATGAACTCTCTGTCTAACTACCCACCCATCCTTGCCAACTTTCCCCAGTTCTCTTGTTTGTTAAACTCTCAGTCAGGGCTGAATTCTGAATGAGTTCTCATCATTCAGCTCTAAAGTCTCTCTCTGCTCAGCTGATGATGCTAACCAATCAGATTGCTTGGAGCAGCCTGTCACTCAAGGCTCTCTGTAAAGAATTAACCCTTCACTCCTACGCTTTTAAAAAGTGCAGTCCATCACAGTTCCATATACGGGTTCGTAGATCAGATCTCACATCTGAGTTCCTTAAGAACTCTTAGGTGTATGCCATCAGGACCTGTAGTTTTTATTTTCTCCTGGTAGGTCTAGAATTCCATCTCTGGTCACCTCAATTTGGCTCAGTTCTTTGGACTCCCTTCATGAAAATGGGGGTTGTGGCATCTGCCATCACTTTGAAGAAAATGTAAACAAGGAAAACAGTGTCTCTGCTACAATGTGCTCAAGTTTGTCTCACATCCCACTTAAGAGTTATGATTTAATGACTGAAAACCAGTGCACAAGGGAAGAGGGAAAAGGTATCATTTTAGGGAGTGGTGTGTAAAAATAGAGGACCTTGAAGAGTGACAGCTACAGGCAGGGATATATTGGAATATGAGTGGAAAGATGGGGAGGGGAACTGCACTCTAATAAAGGTTTGGGCAGTGTAAAACACTTTTCTTGGATCGGGGAGTGGATGCAAAGCCAGTGTAAGAGTTTAAGGAGGGGCATCTGATGGTCAGAGTGATGGGAGATGTATGATATTAGCAGCACAGTGCTGGATAGCTTTGAGGGGATCAGGGTACAGCAGTAGACATGTGATTAGCTGATGTCTTGGCAATGGATGAAGCTGAAGCTTAGTTGAAATGTCACGTGAAATCATGATTTAATTAAAGCCATCTTTATTTAGCATGATTGTCTAAATGTGGGTCATGCCATTAATTATAGTTAGTTTCTGTCACACCAGAATCGCACCAGAATCTGAAATGATGGTTTGGACTCAATTTGTTAATGGCAGTTATTCATATGAGCGTTCCCCCATATTACTAGTTTTGTCATAGGAAAAAATTGAGAAAAAAATCTCAAAAAGGAAACAGTTTCCCTCTGAACATTTTTTTAGGCCACATATTGAGCCAAAACATGAAATGATTACGGTATGTTACAAAGGATTTTTTGTTGTTCAGCCACAGTCGAGTTTGACTCTTCGCAATGCCACGGACCGCATAACGCCAGGCCAGGTCTTTTGCCATCCTCTGGAGTTTGCTCAATTTCATGTTAGTTGCATCAGTAACACTGCCTAACCATTTCATCCTTTACCATCCCCTTCTTTGTCCTTCAATCATTCCCACCATCAGGGTCTTCTCCAGTGAGAAGTTAAAAAGGATATCAAGGGGCAAAAAAACTCATTGAGGAAGTAGCCAGAAGAAACGTACCAAAAAATCATATGTAGAGAGAGGAGAGATCAACTACGAGCTTGGAAAGGGAACCTGGGCAAGGTCAAAAGGGTAGTGAAATCATCAAAAGAGGGAACAAAGCTGTGTAAGTAGAGGAGAAGAAACAATTGGGGAGAAAGCCAGAGAAATCAATGCCAATTTCCACACTGAAGGAGGCAAAATCTTGAGCTGGGTGTAAATGCAGTAGTAGATGGGAAGGAATAATATTTATAATGGACAACATTAGGCAATGTTTTAGCCCTTTTACAGCTGCACAAGCATAGGAATGAAAACTCTGGAAGAGATCCATGGCTGAAAATAGGGAAGGAAATTTTGCTGGCAAATTTGGGGTAAATTAAGAGATAAGGGCAGTGATCAATTGAAGGCAGAAGTAAGTGAGCAGAAGAGAGAAAAGGGAAACTACTGAAACAATGAATTGCAAATCACAAAAGAGCACAGCAGAACACAGGAAAGTTGAATTGTGTGCAGAGCTGAAGGAGACGGAAGGTATTCAGTGAGAGATCTGAGAGCAGTTGTTGATGAAGACCAGGTCAAGAGAGTGTGCTTGTGGCAGTCTTCAGGGGAATTGGTTCTAATGGAAATGGGAAGCAAAACTCCCCCACAGTAAACCTGCAATTTGTATAAAAGCTGCAATGCAAGATCCACTCATGAAGTGCAAAATGGCTTTCATGAAAACGATTGCTGGAGATCGTGAGTCATTTCTACAAAGGTTTCAAAACCAAAAACCATAGGCACCTTTTTTGTATGAAGAACTTTGTAAGCTAATCAAGAAGCTAATGAGTCATTGCATAAAATCGGAAATGCTGCACAATGTGTCTTTTGGTTCCCAGTTGTTAACAATAGACATGGAATTGTCTGAGAACTTGCTTGACGGAAGCAAGGTTGACATTGGCTATGCAGCAAAGAAGCTGTTGAAAGAAACTAAACTGAGTGAACGTCAAGTGGTCGAGTTTTGCCTAGGGTGTCGAAACATGGTAGTAGCTGTTGTTGAAAAGTTGATTGAGAGATTAGATCCTACTATCATTTCATACAAGCCAAATCTTGGAATCACCAGAATAGGGGTTGAAGCTCTACTTGCAACAAATCAGATCAGTGACACAGTAGCAGAAAAACCAAAGCAACAATGCACTGCTTTAACCACAGCTGCCCACAATGAGTTCAAGGCTCAATTTCAAGCATATGTTCCAAAACAAAATTATGAAGTTGGACTGGATATGTTTTACAGTGGTATTTTGATGTCCAACAAACGTTTCTCAGACCTA